AACAATTTGCCATTGCTGAATAGTCACACCTGACACCACAGTGCTCTCACTACAATCCTCCCTCCTCTAAAACAGTCTGATTCTGCAATTAGCCTGAATTGAGTGGACACGTCATCTAGACTTGTCTTTAGGGTACGAAAAATCCAGGGCTGGTTTGAATGGACCTCTGCGCACTAACTCAGCCCTCATAAAGTCTGTGTTGACTTGCGGCCAATCTGCTGGGTCATTTGGTGGAGCAGCAACTGTTCCAGTAGGGTCTGAGCAGCTTGGACCTGATGCTGGCTGTACATCTCTGTTTGAGGCTGCCTGTATTTTACCAGGGTCTGTGTGACCTGCTAAAGACGCCTGGACTGGGTCTGTGCCATTACTGGTTGAGGCTGGATGTGGATCAACTGTGCTTGTACTGGCTGACTGGCTAGAGTCCAGCACCTACTCTAATACTTCTACATTATACTTTTTTGTTCACTGTAACTTTTTCTTGCATATTGGCACTTCTCACAAGCAGCCAGCACTCTTCTCTGCCCCCTCAATATCAGGTTCTTTGGGTGATTCATAAATAAACTGCATTACCCAGGGGGCACTACGGTATGCTCACCTGTTCCCGTTCCCGTTAGTTGTCTAAATGGGGCGGGACAAAAAATGTTACATTACGTGTTACAGCACATTTTTAAATGTTGAACTCATTGTTATGCATGAATTGTTGTGATTATGGACAAGTTAGTACTTAGCATTAGCACATTAGAGACTACCTACCAATGCAGACAATTTTTCTTGCACAAGAATTTAATGAAAGAACAAAACCTACAAAAATTTTAAATGTTGCTTGTGTATTGCTGTAGTTTAGGGCTGCACCTTAAATTAATTCATATAGAGACTATTTTTCAAATCAATTAATCCAACGATAATTTTTTCGATTAGTCGATTAATCGAAAGATTAATTTATTTTTGATTATTCTAAACAGGGTTTCTGAAGGTTTCACCTGGTCAAATTTAAGACTTTTCTGGATCTTTTTAAGACCATTATGAATGAAATTTAAGACCTACATCACCATTTAAAAAAAAAAAAAGAAATCGTACAAAGGAAATGCAGTCACAAAATTACTTGCAGAGTAAATAAATGTATTCCAATGTAACAGTACTGAACACAGATTAGTTGGAAAAAAAAACAAACATACAAAACATATTAGCATGAGGGGTGTGAGTGAATGAGTGTGTGTGTGTTTCCTGCGCACTACATTAATCTGTAATCTAGTTTCCTTTTTTTTCGTAAAAGCAAATGAATTTAGGTGGGGGTTTGGTGGTCACCCCCAATAAAGAAATATGTAATTCCACACATTTTGGAACATTATTATTACCACATCTGCAAGTAATAAATTGGAAAGTCTAGAGCAGATTTTGAATAAACCACACCCCAAAAACTAAACTTGCTAAAGAAGTCTACTGGTTTTGAATTATAACCATTAGATCTGGGAAAAATTCATTTGGTTAGTTTTAGGGCTGGGAAAGTTAACTCGTTATTATCGCGTTAAAGCATTAATTAATTAACGCCGACAATTATTTTATCTCATGTTAACACATTTTTTAAAATTATTATTTTGAAAGTCTGTTTCTCACTGGCTCTGAATACACATCCAGTCAAACCCTGGGTCACAGGAGGGGCGGGATGTTGATCAGCCTGTAAATCAGCCACCCAAACAAGCAGCAGAAGGAGGCTTCAGCAGACTACGCTGGATGCAGCGAGTGGGAGAAGTAGATAAACAAAAGCAAGACAAGCGATCAAACACCACAGAGAAGTGGAGAGCTGCACACTGCAGGCTCCTTAGTTTTGGGGAAGATGTCGGTCTGAGGAACGTTCTTAAAGTCACAACGTAGTCGCTTGGCCCTGCCGGGTTGCTCTGCGCTCCACAGATGAACAGGAGAAAAGCGCTCGGCGAGTAAACGGCAGGCACTCTATGGAGAGTAACCATGGCAACGGCTTCTGTGCGTTACACAGCTGTAGCCTGTTTAACTTAAGTTAAAATTATAGGCTTCATAACTTTACCTGATAGGCCTTCATCTAGTTTTCTCTGCCATGCGAATTCCCTCCTGTTGACGTTCTATTTAGGAAAATTTAGGACAGTTCAACTTCGGCGGCGGGCGTGTGCGTGAGGCGAGTACCTCACCTCACTCTAACAGGGACACTTGCTACTGAACAGACTGTTTCTGCTGCACCCTGATAAAAGAAAAATGTTTCTGCTGATACCTGATCAGAAAAATAACACAAGAATACTGGACTCTGATGGTAACTTGTTTTAACAAGCTAGATAAAAGGTAATTCCCTGGCAGTGGCAAATACCTTTGGTTTATATTTGATTACATTAATGTTGAAGTTGAGATTTACAAGAAATATTTTATTGCTACTGTGTAAAGGGAATACTGCTGGTTAAAAACCACCTTATTTGTTTTAAGCGTTTGCAAACCACATGTTATTGCACTTTTGTGTACATAGCAGTACATTTAAACTAAGTGCGCAATACACTACTTTAGAATTCATTATTCAATTTTGCACAAGACCATGCCATTAATCTCAATTAAAAATTGTAATTGTTGCCCAACATGTTAGTTTAGATGCCCTCCACAATGATTTTACATTCATGGCGCAGCACCAAGCAGTTTTGAGCCTCAACACCTTATAATGGCAGGGAAAACCCTGTTAACACCTCAGAATCATTACAGATAGGATTGTTAATGTCTGTCCTTTCATCACTTCCCAGGAAACTAAAAAGACGTTTACTTTTGGCCTCAGGTGAAGATGCCAACCATGGTCGTTCAGACCCGGGTGGCTCCAACGACCATAACAACCGTGGTTACAACGTCCAGGAGCACTAACGAAACAGTGGTATCAATCATTTAGACAACGGCCCCACAGAGGTTAAATAGCTGAGTTTCCCTACAAGTCAGTCAGTCAGAACTGAAGAAGTCTGTCGGATGAGGGACGAAACACCTTCAAGTATCTTAAACAAAGTCCAGTTGTACTTGATTTTTACCTTCTTTGGATAACTGTGACAACACACAGACTGTTACAGAATGCTTTTTTCAATCTGTTACAGTCTGTGTGTAAGCATTTTCCCACTCATAAATGGCTGTGAAATAAACAAAAAATAAAACTACATCTGCATTCACCATTCACACACATTCAATCACAGAGCATAAGCGCTCAAACAGAAACTAACATTCACACACATTCATACACTGGTGGAACAGCCGCCAGAGGGGTTCAGTTCAGGTGACATGAATGAGCCGGGGATTGAACTGCCACAGTTGTAACATGGGGAAGATGAAGAAACATTAACAAAATCTATTTTAAGTGACTACTACTAAACAGAAACACGCTCCTCGTGCTGATAATTCTAATAAACCATGCTTGTGTGGAGAAAAAGTAAGCTGGATTAGTGGTGCTGACTTGCTGCTGTCTCGACTGTGTGCTCCAGGTGTTGTATGATGATGTATAAACAGTGAAAAGGGAGTTCCTACACTAGCGATGATGTCACCCACTCTAGCTGCGAAGATTCCATCCAATACACGCTCATTATGAACTCAGAAAAGGATTGAGAAAAGCCAAAAACAAATAATTAGAAAAAATATCAAAAAGCGAATACAGAGTTAATAGTTGAAAGTTTGGCAACTAGTTAAAACTTAAAAATAAGGCTGTAGATTAAATTATTAGGATTTGAAGATTCATCCATTGAAAAAAATGAGTGAAGCAAAAAACGTATGGAAGAACAATAATAAAAAGAATAATAAACATTTGAATAACGAAAATGGGAATGCTGCTGAATCAGCATTCACAGTTCTGTAAAGTCAAAAAAAAAAAAGTATGTGAAATGTACGTGAAACAAGACAAAAAATGTGAGACATCTTTGTTTTAAATTGAAAGAACAGGCAGACAGACAAATTTGTGGGCTTCCAGGGGAACAGGCTGACTGTCTGCTGTATCGATGTCCCATTGATTCAGGCTTTGTGTCTCAAAATCACCCCCCTCATCTCCTACAGAGCTACTTAATATGTTTGAGAGGCTCCGACGCTTCTCATCTATAAAAGGCAGAGCTTTTCTTTTACCCATATTAGAGGTGGTGTTGGTGCGGAGGAAGGAGAATGAGTTGGTGTGGGGTTGCGGGGTGGGGTGCTGCTGCTGCTGCTGCTCTGAAGTCTGCCTGGTGGGACCGGAGCTTTATTGGCTGGAAAGGAAGCCGGCGGAGTTGCAAGGGCCTGAGAACTTGGATGAGAGGAAGCTTTTGAAACTTCCCACATCGGCATTAGAGAGATGAGCTGCTATTCAGCGCTCACTCCCAGTCTACATGAACACATCCACAAATACACACATAAAACAAGCCTGCATATCCAACACAAACACACACACACACACACACACACACACACACACACACACACACACACGGCTTTGTGCACACATGCATTCACTCATATCCAAACACACACACACTTCCTTTTTATCTGCTGGTCCACAAGATGAGGCTGGGCTCTAATTGGTCCTGGGGGAGATTGGCAGGGTGAGCAGAGCAACAAGGAGGCCAGACAAACAACAGGAGGGAGAGTTGCAGGAAGAAAAGGGCCACCGCTTCATAAGTAGAGAGGTAACCACAATGGAAGAGGGGAAATAAATGAGTGAGAGGGAAGGCAGGATGAATGGGGAAAAGCACATTCACTCGCTAATAGTTAGCAGAACTGCTCTATTAATATAGTGTGCTCAGTGTAATATGCAAAACACTTTAGTTTCCTGCAGAAAGTCCATTGAATTCCATTGATTAAAAGCAATCCAAGCGAGTACCTTGAGAATGTCTCCATACTTAACTGATCTCCCTTGAGTTTATCTGTACCTCTTTTGCTCCCCCCACTATGTGTCCCAAAGGACATACAGCAATAGATGCAGAAAGAGGTAGAGAGGAGATGGAGGTGGTTCTTGGAGGAGATCATAGGAATATGTGATCAGAGGTTCCTACCTGCAGCCAACACCTTTGTCTTTCGCCCTTTCAGCAGTTTCTGCACCCGGCAAAGCTGCAGGTGGTTCTCGTGGCACCGGGTATTGTTCTGGATACGCTGGGACACCTCACAAATCGCAGTCACCGCCTCTACAGAACACACACAAACATTTGTAGCATCCTTCATCATACATGTGAAGACAATCATTAATGAAATCCTTTCTGAGCAATAAAATACTATTTTTGATATTAGACTATTGTGGGCAAAGTTACAAATCACCTTGCGACAAACACAAACATATATATATTATATATACACACACATACAGACACACACACACAGTATACGTATGTGTGTATACGTACATACGTATACATTATTTGAGAAGTTAAGTTAATCCTGCTTCCTCACAAACCTCCCTCTACGCACTTTTCTGAGCACACCCCTGATGTTCTGAGCCAACAGTAGCTTCTAAATGACACTAACGATAAAATTACATTCACCTTGAGAGAAAAGGAAAGTCCAAAACACATATGATGGTTTATAATGCTAATCTCACGTCTTTGTTTTAGATCAGATCTGATTTTTTTTCTTCAGGATTTAGATGCCCGGGCTCCTAAGCTGAGGACCATTTGTTTACAGTATACAGGCCTTTCTCACTGGTAGGTCTCACATGTGATAGATATCTTTTGGAGATTTTGATACCCTACAAGCCTGAGCAGCTGAAGATCCTCAGGCACAGCTCTTTTGCTTCTTTGGGCCCAGGTTAAAGACTGAAGATGGCTGGGCTTTAGCCATCAGCGTGGGGCTGATTCTTTAAAATGACCTCTCAGCATTTTTGCAGCTTGGTAATCAAATGGTAATAGCAGGGTTAATGTTAAAAACTCTTTGCGTCGATGCTTCGTTTAATCCACATAACTATACAGCACACTGTTCCGCACAGACATTTATTACTGTCGCGCTTATGCTGTGCGAACACGACGTGATTATGATGCCGCTATTTGCAAAGTGGAGGAACAGAGAGAGAAAATAGTGAGGGATGAAGAAGAAAGTGTCCAAAGTATGGGATTATTTCCCGCTAAAACAAAACAACAACTGTAATGTCACAGTCCGTCCACCGTAAAACGAAACTTATGTCGCCTAAGTTACCAACAGCACGACGGCACCTGATCAGAAAGCAGCCGGTGTTCTGCCAGCGGACCACAGACAAGGTAACAGTAACTTTAGCATTTAACTGAAGTCATGATTGATTGTTGAGTTGAAGCCAAAGTAAGCCGCAGTCCTCACAGTCAGCTGCAGCTTAGTATAACTTGTATAGCACTCGTGTGATGTCTGTGTTGGTAAAGCAGTTGTCTGGTTGTTGGTCTGATGTTTGCTGTATGACACACAATGAATTTCCGATAATAAATATCTATCATCCATGTCAGCCAGCCCTAAACAAAATGTGGAAAAGTGAAGCGCTGTGAATACTTTCCGGATGCACTGCATGCGTGTGTATTATTATTAACAGATGCAACATGATTGCCCTTATTGACATTAAACTTGGATTACTTATTTCAAAGTGGATAATTCTATTATTCATATTATAAGTGTTAAGTGTCTTACAGCAACTGATGAGGCCAAGTTTTCAACCATGGGAGAAAGAATAAAATTGGTCACAAACATAAATGCTCAGACAGTGGCCTTTATGCCCTCTGAAACCTGGTTGTTAGTGACCTTTCAAATGTGAATTTCTGCCTTAGTTTGGACATTGCCTGCCATGTAATCATGTAAGCATGTTTAGTAGTCCTTTTGTTAAATAAAACATATTAACTGAATCCTGCTCTGACTGGTGTCTGCATTTGGGCCCACACTTGCATTCGGTCAACCTGACGATTTTAAGAAAACATTATGCTTACTGCACCTTTAAGTTATATTAACTTGAGTTGTAAAGCTAAACTGCCTTCCTTACTTTTGCTCCAGAACACACACAGAGGACAAATCATCACTTCTGTGTGCCAGTCATAATAATTGCTGTAAACATTTAAAACTACATCATTCACATGTCCAAAATAACAACAAAGAGCTGGATTCTAATTTCAAGCTCAACTTTCCTGCTTTTGTTCTGAGCACCGAAACTCAGCTTATGAACTTGATCCTCAGGGCGGTATGTCTACACTAACATAATCATGGCCTAATTGCCTCACTTAACTTTAATTACAATGTAAACCCAACAAGGCATCTGAGTAGACTTTTTCCCTTTGTTGCACATGCTTGGAATATTTTCTTTTGCTTGCTTTCGAAAAACAACAACTCCTAATTACAGTATTTTTGGGCTGAGTTATGGCCGAGGTATTAATAATACATCTAGCCCATTAGACATTCTGAAGACATATTCCACTTCTTACAGCTCTTTATTCCATTTATTCACTATTTAGACCATGTTTGACCACGGGATGAGGATTGTTAACTTTTAGTGTTAAATCTCTGACACAGTTGCTTCTAGTCAGGTCAGACTTTGTTATGGTTACTACAGTGGAGTTAGGCGTTAGATGTCATATGAAAGCGGGCTGATGTAAACTCCTGAAGCACAATTATAACAATTAAATCCAGTCTGAATGTACTATTTGGGGGGGGGGGGGGGGGGGGGGGTAGAGACAAAGAGGAGAAAAAGCGAACAGACACAGAGAAGCACAAGAAGAGAAAACAACAACAACAAAGCTTCTTGTGATTCTATCTGCTAGTTTGCTTAATCAGATACAATGTAATTTGTCTGGAATTTCTTTTTTTAAATAATTCCCTTTACAATACAACCAGGCTGACTATAGGAAGTTTTTACACACACACACACACACACACACCCAGTAAAAAGCAGCAGTTTAAAAAAAGGATCTCTAATGAGAAGAGGAAGAAGCGATGGTGGAGCACATTTAGATATGTACCTTCATCTTAGAGTCAGGGACTGTTTTAATTTGTAAGCAAAGGCAGCACACCAGCGATGAGATTTTAATTGATACACATAAATAATTCCTTGTGTACATTCGCACTTGAGTCAGATTCACTATTTATTTGACGATTGAAATTAGTCATTATCGGGATTCGTGTTGATGTTGAAGATTTTATTTATTAATAAAGCTCCCACTTAATATCCTCTGATCCGCTCCCAATTAATTATGTCAAAATCCACATCAAACCAGAACTTACATGCATATTGAGCTTTGGCTCACTTTCATTTCTCTACTAGCAAAGCACTGCGGTGACAACAACAAATGAGGAATGAAAGGGATTGAGAGCACTTTCCTTTGTTCCTCAGATGAAGATAATGAGGGCTGTCTATCACTATGACATGAGTCTGACTGGTGCAATAAAAGTCTTCACAGGTTGTTGGGTTTTTTGGTTTGTTTTCTTGTTGTTAATGGTCTGTACTTGTATAGGACCTTTTTAGTCTTCTGAGCACTCAAAGTGCTTTTACACTACATGTGACATTCACCCATTCATACAATCATGGCAGAGGCAAGATGCCATGTGCTCATCAGAAAGAACCTCATCATTCACACATACTCTGACACTGATGGCACAGCCACTGGGAGCAATTTGGGTTCAGTATCTTGCCCAAGGACACTTCGAGGCTTCGGGGGAAGCCGGGGATTGAACTGCCAATCTTCTAATTAGTGGGTGATCCGCTTTACATCCACGAAACACACAGAGAGAGAGAGAGAGAGAGAGAGAGTTTGTCTCCTGTTTAATCTATGGATACTTGTGCCAGTGTTTTGTAAAAGCTTGTAAGTGCAAAAACAGAACGTGCGTTGTGTTTTTTTGGGCGACTTTATAAAAAAAGAATACTACTGACGAAGAAAGTCAACAGAGCAGTGGTGGACAAGGTACTAACATCCTTAATCATGTTTTCACTTCTTTGACGATAAAGATTAATGCTCTGTCGGCTCTTGTGCTAAATAATAGGTGTGGTCTTCCATTTGTTCAAATTTCACTTCTCTTTTTACTTTTAATAAACAGACGACTTCTACTACTAATCTTCTTCTCCTTCTTCATATTCAACGTAGTGACTAGCGTCTACACTGCCGGAATTCTACAAAAAGAAGAACAATGTAGTGAGGAAAAGCGCGCTGTAGAGCAGTTTGTCCATTTGTGCTACTGTAGAAACATGGCAGTGCAAAATGGCGACTTCTGTGTAAGGAGACCTGCGGTGTATGTAGATAGAAATAACTCATTCTAAGGTAATAAAAATACAATGGTTCTTTATGTAAGGTCTTTATACACCACTGAAAACATACTTATGGATATCATATTGCATTTCTGACAATAAATCTTCCTAAATATTACACACTGAACCTTTAAAGTATTACAAGTAAATTGAAATTATTTAAAAGAAAAGCAGCAAATCTGTCAAGCTGATGAAAAATTACTATTATCAAAATAGTTTATACCCCCAGCAACACCACCCCACAAGCAAACCTGTCGTTACAAAGGAAAACACAGTATCCCTAACTAAATATATTGGCCGGTCATTTTTTTGGACCCTGCTCTTAAGAGTTTGTAGCCTATCTTAAGAGTTTGTAGCCTATCTAAAATGGAAAATGCTCTGGTCAGAGCTGTCCCTGTTATGACCACAGGAGAGCCACGTCTGATTGACACGCACACTCAGCTCACGCTTCCTGTCTTTTTTAATTGTGAATGCAGATGTGGACGTGGAGTAAAGGAGTGACTGAAGAACACAGCAGATACGCAGACACATATGGGTTACAGTTGCCATACGAGCTCTTTATTGCTTCAGAAGCATTTTGAAATTTTAAGAAAAGTGAATATATATGTACTATTACCCATCCTTACTTCAAATTATACAGTGTAATACACTCTAGGCCATGGCACACATCCCTACATCATCACGTGTTGTCAGGTTCCTGTAGTTGAAAAACCCCAACAATCAAGACAAATTGGAAGAGGTGACAACAACATGAACCTCAGCTTCACAAATATGAGTGTGCAGCTGCAGACACATAGTTTTACAATAAAAGAACTCAGGGTTAATCTGCAGACATTTTCCCCGAAATGCAGCAAAATGAGTAATGAAGCAGCTTCACAATCGGAAAAGACACTTACTTGAGATCTGCTGAAACTCTGGGTTGTCTGGACTTGTGTTGGCAGTCAGGTCTTGTAGGAAATGTTTATACCTGTGAGAACAGAAAATAAAAAAGATCACTTTGTGCTCCATCTAAAAATTTCACTTGAAAAAGGAAAAAGTGTCTATTGGAACAACAAACACTTTTCCTTTTCCATCCACTATTACTAATGAAAACCACTAACAGAGCCACAGCCAGTGTTGAGCAGCACATACTTTGTCCAGTCACTGCAAACTGGATGCAGCAGTGCCTTACAAAACCAGAGGAAAATGTACACACAGTCTGATTTAAGCTCCTGGCTGATGCAGATGGAGAGGGAAGGTTTTGCTTTGAAGTAGTGTTGATGGTGACAAACCCTGACTGATACAGCTGTAACATGATGAGATGAACATCTGCACTGGTTTTACCTGGGCCCTCAGACACATTGCTTGACAGAAAATAAATGAAGCACTGACTGAAATGATGAGTGAATCAAACCTGAGAAAACCATTAAAAATGGGTCCATTTAAAAAAACAACAACTCAAAAACATTTATAAAATTAATCAAACAAAAATTAGAAATTAGCATTTTACAATTTACATTGCAACAGTGTAATTAATTTGCGTTTTATGAATTACTTTGATGGATAATCAAAGTAATGGATTGTTTCTACACTCTATTACCACAAACATATTCGAGCTGCAGTCTCTATTCATTAGTCACTGTAATTTCCACTGTACATTTGTACATTTACAGAAAAACTGACGCTACTTGGTGACCATTTTCTTTCTGCTCTGCTCACCTGCCACCGTCTTGTGCAGAGTTGTGCATGTCTGCCATCTTGCCAACAATTGCATGCACGTCTCGGTTCCTCTCGGGTCTATTCCAAGTACTGTTTAAGAACGATATAATATTCTTATTAATGAATAAACGTCCCGCAAAGTTCACGCACAACTCTCCCTCTTCTACCCCAAACACTATGCCAAACTCTCCCTCTTCTACCCCAAACACTATGCCAAACTCTCCCTCTTCTACCCCAAACACTATGCCAAACTCTCCCTCTTCTACCCCAAACACTAATGCCACACAAGGTTACAATTTTGGATTTATCCACGCACTTTAAAGAGATTTATTGAAAGCATCTTTCGTTTCACATATTTATTTACAGCATTATATGCTGAACTTTATATCATAATATATGAACTTATTGGAAGAAAAACGGTAATTCTATGTGAAATTAGATGTTGAGCACCCCCATATTGCCAAAATGGCATGATCCTCATTTCCTAACACCTCTGCGAAGATTCGACTGTGAGATTGGGAGTCGAATCAGGCTCCACCTATCGAATCATCAAATGGTCGACTATTCGGGGTCACCCCTAGTTCATTAGGCTTACACAAACCTAGGGAATATGATGAAATTTTAAGCTATTCAGATGTGTAATGCATGCTTGTGGACAGCACTGCTGCTGAAAATTGTATTGGATTTATTTCTTGGTAAATGCAATTTCAAAGACTAAATTTGTTTACATGTGATACATGTTGTATTGATGTTTTATATGCAGATATAAAGCAGCACCTCCGCTGCTGCAACTCGTTAGGAAAACCCAAACGTGAAATGTAAAGGGAACGAGACCGAGAAAATATCGTAAATTCAAAACCTTTTTCACTAGGTAACTTGAGCCCAATTTGTGTACAGTGTTCAGTGACATTCAATAGTGCTACACTGTGAACAACGATTCTGTGTTGAAATCATAGAAAGAAACAAGAGACCTGTCAAAATAGCACAGCTAACAAATAGAGGTTGGTAGCAAGTTGAGACAACAAAAGTTTGTCATTATGGATTATATTGATATCGAATCGACAGGAACACTGTAAACATGACGCCTTTCATCTTGTGTTTTTGCGGACAAGAAAGGAATGGTTAATATTTCATCTTTTTTTAAGGGAGTTTGGCGTAGTATTTTCCCCTGGAAAGTGCAGGGATCTTCTGTTTAATTCAAACTACTATTAGGCCTAGTGTTGTATGTATATATTTTAAACTTCCTTACAACAAAATATGATCAGGTTGTCTGATGTTGACTGTGGTTTGACTAATGGTTTACAGTCTACAATGCATGTTTGCATTTATTACTGACAATGGATAATCAGGCAAATTGTCAGCTAATTGTACTCAGGTTCTAACAGCTGTATGCAGTAAATGGTTAAATTAATATAATGAATTATTTATAAATAATTGTTCATACAGCAGTTGTGGAAAAGCCACATACAATTTAATTAAGTTGGGACTGTATTTAATACAATGACTCATATAATTTTTTGATTGTATACAGTTTTGTCTTAATACTATGTATCACTTATTATTCTTGCACCATTGATTTTGGCCTGCTGCCCAACAATTTGGCCTCTAAAGTCATTTAATCCTAGGCATTTAATAAGGCCGGAAAACCAGTGTACTGAATCGGCGCATACCAAATATTTTTTACACCGTTACCTATTTAGCGATTCACAAACAACTGAAACCAGTCTTTTTTTAAATAGGTGAATTGACTGAGTCAGTATTGTATTGTGACGTAAAGCTTCATTTATACTTCTGCATTAAGGGGTTATGCCATACCCATGGTGGCTACACTCCGCAGCTGACGTGCACCTCCTCAAAAATATCACAACTTACCAAGGCTACGGAGACACCACAGGGAGACGGAAAGAGCTGTGATTAGTCAGTCTGAGTTACTTGTGTTTCCTCCAACAAGTTTCTTATGCTGGTAAAAATTGTTTGGAATGAAGATGAGATTAAAACGGGTTTAAAAAGTTATTTTTTCCTCATCAGACTAAGTGACATCTCCATTGCAAACCTGATCATTGCCCCCCGCTAACCTCCTTCACAGTGAATGAAACAATGTAAGAGGCAGTGACTGCACTAGTCCGCTATTCCCCAAATATTTACTGCTGAATACTCTCTAATTGAATCTACTGTATTTCTTAGCAAAGTGTGGCATGAAAAAAACAAACAAAGCGCAAACTCACCCGTCGCTCTATTAGTTAAAACAAAGTTTTATTTGCTTAGGCCCTGGATGTGTAGCTCATACTGGCTATATGGTCACTTGTCTTTGGAAACATTGTGCATGTGAAGGCATGTTCTTTCTATAAAAGTTAATAACCCACAGGTTTCCCCAGATCAGATTAGGATGATTTGCTGAGGTAAAGTAAGCCAAATATAACAGCCTGGGAACTCTTCAAAACAATAAGTCAACTCGTTGACTTGGTAAGGACAAACTCTGTGGTCTATCTCCTTGGTAACCGAAGGTCAAGATTATTTTTATTTTGTTTTAGACAGACTAACTGGCTGGCTGGATCAATGTAGAAAGTGTTGCATGTGACTTAAATGACTTAGGTTAACTTAGGTAAGAATAGTGTCTTGTTTTGAACCAGTATCCAATAGACTCTTCACACATGTGGATGGGTGAACAATAAACTTTTTTGGACACAGTGAATCTCTAGGACTAGGAAGGATAAATACAGGATGTAGCCTTCAAATTTACTTTATTTTGCCTTAGCATATTTGTGTCTGATTATATAAGTGCATAGTTTCTTTGGCTGTGAAGACCTAAGGCCTGAATAATGTTAGTGGTCGGTTGGTAAATTTGAGACAAGAAGACTCCATGGGTTTATTAAACCACAGCAGCTCACCGGTAATGTGAGGTCAATTCTGGAGCAGCTTTGGGCTGTACCTGTAATTCTTTGGGAAGATGTTCTGGGGAAAGCACATTTAGAGGGGGCTTATTTTGGTAACTTAAGACCAGTGCTGTGTGTATCCACAGGTAAAGCAGGCTTTGTTTGCTTCTAGCTTCAGTGGCTGAGATGTCAATTTTGAGAGTTGTGTTATATACTTAAAATGTTTTCACTTAAAAAGGTCATCCGATTGCCAACCACAGACATAAGAAAAATAAGAAGTGTGACAACTTTTGATGCTGCTGCAGTGTTTATTGAATGTGCATGTTTAATGTTTTAATGTGAATTCTGTAAATATAGGTAGTAATCAGTCCACAGCAGATGCTAAAATTAATCTGAGTAATTCACCAAAAGTAAAGATTAAAAGTAAAAATTTACCCCAGAGGGACTAAAAGTAAAGATGTAAAGAAAAGATCAATCTGCCAGTATCTGGCAAGCAGAGTCAAAACTGCAAGTCAAAATGTTCATCATCACAATATAATGCAATGTTTTCCTCACACATGTCTGCAGAAATTATAGGTAGACCAAAAGGTTGGAGTTTCGTTTTATCTTTGTCTTTGCTCATGTGTGAATGGACAAAGGCTGTATTGCTGTTTAAAGGGTTGTTTGATGAAGAGTAAACTGCTAATAGCATGAATGTTAATTCCAACAATGAAAATCCAGCCTAGGATTTCAAATATATGGAAGAATGTTTGACAGTGTGGTCAGCTGTGGCTTACTGGCATTGCGGTATGACTGAGGATGGCAAACAGTGGGTGTCTGATCAGTGCAGGGATTTCATAGATTGAACAGAGTCCTAAATATGTTGCTGCTTGTCATATGTGCGTGGTGGAGGCTGCAGAGATGATGAAAAAGAAACCCCTTCATGCTAACTATATTTGACAGCTGATTTTAGCGTTGATTCCAAAACCCCAAAACAGTTTATCCAACATTTTCAGAAGGTGCGGGAATCAAATGCAGGCATAAAAAAAATTATAATTTAAACCACTACAAATTCTAATTAACTGCCTGTTGCCTAAATAATTTCAATTGGCAGATAAAAACATTTTAGGAAGTCAAACATAGGCTTGAGGTTGAAGGAAGAAACCCCTCCTCTCCTCATAATGGCTGAGGACAGCAGACGGAGGGGTTCCCCAGAGAACATACACACCCCAGACACATACAGAAATCATAACAATACATAGTGACGACCAGCAGAAATCAGTATTACTTCTGTATGTAAGCCAAAATAAATAAATCCATATATTCCATTGTGTAATTCCGTTACAGTGTCGGTTGACCGATCAGACCATAGCAAATTTATATATATCAACTCACTCTTATGTTCAAGAAACCAGTTTGAGATGATTTGAGCTTTGTGACATGGTGCATTATCCTGCTGGAAGTAGCCATCAGAAGATGGTACACTGTGCTCATAAAAGGGATGGACATGATCAGCAACAATACTCAGGTAGGCCTTCGTGTTTAAACGATGCTCGGTTGGTACTAAGGGGTCCAAAGTGTGCCAAGAAAATATCCCCCACACCATTAAACCACCACCAACAGCCTGAACCATTGATACAAGGCAGGATGGATCCAACAGACCAGGTGGCAAAGGCCCGGACCCTTGCTGAAACATACTGCCGGAACCGCTCTGTGACCTGCTGCTTGTCAGGAATCACTCGGGACTGCCCCTCCCCGCTGCACGGCGGCCCCAGCCCTGTGCACAATGCCAGAGAGCCACAGCTGGAGCGCCTCGTCATTGTCAGTACTTTAAAACAGTAGGCTGAACAATGGTTTTTTTGCTGTAATTAAGAGTTGTGTCAAATAAAGTATAGTAATTCCCTTCAAAAAGGTGAATTGCCCTAGCGATACGTTAGAGTTTTACCGTAAGATCAGGTTTATTTCATCATTATATCTGCTATTCATCTGTTGTTTGATTCTTTTATTAATCCTTATTTATTCACTTATTAGCTATCTAGATGTAAATACTATCTAATACCTAATTTAATCAGTAAGAAGTTGTGTTTTCTTTGAAGCAGAAGACAAGTTTAGTCTATGGAAAGAATTCAATTCCTTCTGAAGAGACTGATCAAATTTATAATTGAGTTTTAATTACTCTGGCTTGTTTTTCCTGTTTTCCATAAACTGCGTTGGTGCCCCTTTGAACAGCTGTTTAAT